TTAGTAAAAAAAAAAAAGGAAGCCAGATTGATAGAAAACCAAACAAAACCAACACTACAACATATTTTCTTCAAATGAATTTGCCCTTTTTTACACTACTTATAAAAGGGGAGAGGTTTCAAGTGAATACATGCACCATCACCTCCTGCCAATGAATTTTCCAATGTACACAAGTAAGCTCTGGTGACCTAGTGGCAAGAAGCTGTGCTGCAATCCAAAGGCATGTAGTTCGACGCTACCAGCTTCTCAGTAGAAGGATGGGCAATCTCCTCCAGTGCAACTGACTGCCTCTGAAAACCCATGGGAAGGTCAGCTATGGGTCAGTTCCGACCCAACGAACGGTACACAACAACAACACAAGTAAAATGATGACACCATGAGCTTTCTCTGCAGACTCCACATTAGAACTATATATGAAAATAAGTGATAGAGAAATAATAAACAATCACAAGAACATCAAACAGCTTTATCATTATAGAAATTTTGGTCCTACAGGGCCTTTTAAAAATATTTCCTTTAGAATTTCAGCTATCAGCACAGCAAACATATAACAGTAATCCACAATGATCTTAGTTATCTGAATGCCTAAGTTAGAAACATTTAAGCAAATCCAGTTACTTAGCTAAAAGAGGCTATTTTCGCACTTGGAGTTGAAAGAGTTTGTATGTAGAAGTTAACAGTATGTTATGTCTATCAAATTTTAGCACATCTTCTTATAACCAAACTATTCATCAATCAGTTTGAATAATTCTAGAACATCACACTTAAAAAATAAAATAGGGTATGTAGAAATTAGTACCCTGACAGGGCTTTTGTTTCCGCCATTGGAAAACTAAGAGAAGTCCACAGAGAGCTGAGGTTTGTGGGCCATGGTCATCAGAGGTGAAGGGAGGACAGCACTGAGGCAGTGGGAAAGGGCGAACAGAGAATCTGGGTCAGATGAGGGAGCCCCGGTTCGCTGTGTTTACAGTAGTCCACGCAGCTGGCCAAGGCCAGACCCTGACATCAGCCTGCAGCTGTGCACAGACCTTTGCTCTGTTTATGAAGCCTGGTATGCTGGGTGGAGAACAGCTGGGCTGCAATTATCACTCCCACAAATTGTCTTACTAATTGGCGTGGGTTCCTGATGAAATATTTGGCATAAAGACTCGTGGAATACTGTTAAAAAGAGGCACATGTAAATATTGCATCGTGGGTCCTCCGAGTACTCCCCATCAGTGAGTACACCCGAGTGTGTGTACATGTGGATGTGGGAAGCACTATCCCTTAGTGTTAGGTTGTAGTCTTTTCTTTGGAATACAAATAATAAATCTCTGCTAAGGTGTACTAAAAAACCATACCTTATCACAGTTTTATGATGCCACATGCACTTGCTCTTCATCCTGTTCTCTGGCCTATTCTCCACAATTCCACACATATACAGCCAATTATTAAAACACTCAACAAGGCAAGACGAGTGCCTTGGGTGGTCCAAACGGGTAAGCTGCTACTAACTGAAAGCACGGTAGGTTGGATTCATCTAGTGGCACTTTGGATAAAGGTCTAGAGATCAGCTTCTAAAAGCACACAGCCTTTGAAAACACTAGATAATAAGAGTTCACCATATTCTGGTGGCATAGTGGTAAAGAACTGCATTGCCAACTCAAAGGCACATGGTTCAAATCTACCAGCTGCTTCTCAGGAGAAAGATAGGCACTGTGCTTCTGAAAACCTGTTGAAGGGTCAGCTATGAGTCTGTTCCAACTCAAGGGTACATAACAACAAAAGTGAGAATCAACTTGACAGAAACTGGGTTTCATATAAACCCAAACAAAATATTAAGAAAAGAAAAATTAGAAATCAGAATAAGCAAAGGGTTTTCCCACAGTGTTAGAACCAACGATTCTCAAAAAGTTATTAGAAAAAACACAAAACCCACAGTGACCGCAAACTAGTCCTTTGACCTTGTTGTTTTAATCATTATATGAGTCAGTTTTTTTAGAGTATGCTTGCGATCAAGGGCATCAAAAGGTCACTTTACTGGAGGAGAGTTATCCAATTACAGCTGCTTCATACACATATTTGTAAACTGCAAAAAGCTACTTGAAGCAAGTGGAACACTTTAAAAGAAGAAATACTGTTTCCCAAATTAGAAAAGAAGAAACTAGCTGATATACAAGCTTGTCCTTAAAACATAAAACTAAGTTAAAAATAAAAAAAAAAAATCAATGTTTTCACTGTGGAATGATCCACTCCTAAGAATTATTTGCCTAATCTGTAAGGGAAAAACATTCCCTCAGAATTTAAAGGATAAACTAACATAGAAAAAAAAGATATTTCAGAAGAATTGGTGAACTTCAAATTTTGCTTTTCACATAGTTATTTAGATGACACCTAGATAAAGTCTAATGTCACTTTCAAATATAACCTCTGAGACACAAATCTGGATTCCTCCCAGGTCCGTGACCAGCTATCCCCAAGGAGGGGAAGTGGAGCCATTACCTAATTAGTGCTCATGGGCTGTCTGAGAGGGAAAGGCCATACTTTCATTATTGTCATCTCAGAGAGCCAATTTCCCTTTTGTGAATGATAAATGTACTGTTTATGGAGAAGTACACAACACAATCATGTCCCCAATTGTCTATACTCTTTTGAAATGAAAGAGTTTCCTTAATATTTTTTATCTGACTAGTCCATTTTACTATGGGATAATAAAAATATTTCATGTTCAATAACATAAACAACTCTCTTAGTAGAATGGAACCAGGACAGACAGGCTCAGTTCCCAGTCACACCATTTCCCTGCTTTGCAACTGGAGCAGAATATTTATATTTTCTAAGCCTGTATATCCTCATTTCTCAAATGGAGGTAGTATCAGTGCCTTCCCTACAGTATTAAAGAAGGTAATGCTCCTGAACACAGCAAGTGCTCAATAAATGTTATTATTATCATGAGTATTACTGACATCCTAAAAGTTCACGGATTCAAAGGTATGTGAAGATTGCTCAGAGACATACTTGTCATTCCATAACAGAATGTAACAATTAAAAAGAAATATTGCAGGGGAGCTCTGGTGGCCTAGTGGTAAGGAGCTGCAACTACAATCCCAGGGGCACACGGTTCGAATCCACTAGATGCTCTGCCAGGAAAAGGAGGGACAATCTCCTCCTGTACCAGTCAGATCCGATTTGACGGTACACTCACACAAAAATAAAAAAAAATAAATAAAAAAAAGAAATATTGCTTGTCTAGTGTTCTGGGCTAGTGGCAGGAAGCTGTGCTGCAAGATCAAGGGCATGAGCTTCTTCTAATCCACCAGCTGCTCCGTGGGAGAAAGAAGGGCAATTAAAACTCATCAGGAAACCCAAAGGAGGGTCAGCTCTGGGTCAGTACTGACTCTATGTTACACAACAACAACAACAACAACAACAAATTACTATTCTTCACACTATTGTTGTTGTTGTTGTTGTTGTATATTCCAGAGTCAGAAACGGCCCACAGGTTTTCAAAGGCAGTTAATGGCACAG